CCAGACTCACACTGCCAAGCTCCATGGTTTTTTCACACAACTTGTGGCTACTGGGGTGAAGCACAGTCTCACGAATGAGCAGCAAAAGCTGTGGCTCTACAGGTCCTTGCCAGCTAGCTGCTCTCTCGCTTCATATGGCCTCAATGTTGCGAAGTCTCCTCACGGCATTTGCCTAAGTCATCATTGGTTGGAGAAGTAGGCTCTCAACTGCATTATGCTTCGCAAGCTTCTAGTGATGCCAAGGTGGCAAAACTGCATGCAACTGCAAATGCCTAGAAAGGGCAAAATTCTATGGCATCTAAGCGTGCCAAGCCTAGACTTGCCAATAATCAATGTGCTCGCTGCTTGGAGATGGGCCCACTAGGCTCGAGATTGCACTGCTCTAAAGCCTGTCAAGCGATTAGCTACGACGGCAAAAACCAATCTGATGGAATTGCTATAGCAAATGAGGCTGCTAAGGAACTTTACAATGCAGAGGCAATTGCAGCACTAAGCAGGTGGCTCCTAGACTCTAATTATACTAATCTTATGGGTAATAAGAAAAGTCTTTTTGAGTGTTATCAGCCGAGCATTGAAAAACATGGTATTCATTTAAGTGACAATACCACTATCCCCGTGGAAGGCATTGGGCAATTTTGGCTCTCACTTGATCATGGGAGGACCATGGCCTTTGATGGTCCCATGCATGTTTCCACCTTGTGACGAAATTTAATGTCCATCACCAAGATATGTGATCAAAATGCAATGGTAGTCTTTGATGCAAAGGGAGTCTCTTTGGTTGACTCTAGTGACTTTCACATGCTTGGTACACAATTGCTTCGTGGGTCACACATTGGGACTTGTATGAGATTATTGCTGCCGATCAAGTTTAGACCTTTCAAACTGTGGAGGTAGATTCTCATGTGGAGCTTTAGCATAAGAGACTTGGTTATGTCCATTATCAATCTTTTCAATGGATAAAATCCCAAGATATTGTTACTGGATTGGATTTCCAACGTATCCCATCTACATTTTGAGAAGCTTGTGTTTTAAGCAAGCATCACCACCAGAATTTTTCATCGAGCAAGCATCAAGCAATTGGACTTTTGAACTTGGTCTATTCTGATCTTTGCAGCCCTATGAATATGCCAAGTCATGATGGTGCTAGATATGACTATAGCCATCAAACATGCACTCACTTCTTGATGCGTAAGAGTGATGCAATTGCTGCCTTTCAAATGTACAAGGCCTATGCTGAAAATCTCCTTGGTCGAAAGATAAAAGCTCTTCGAGTTGATGGTGGTTGTGAATACCTCAACAATGAGCTTCAGGGCATCTATCATGATGTAGGTATACGATTGCAAGCCACAGCCTATTACACCCCCTAGCAATATGGTATTGCAGAAAAGAAGAATCACACTTTTGTCAATGCTACTCACGCTTTGTTAGCTGATGCACATCTTGACAAGATGTTTTAGAAGCTAACTTGGGCTCTGCAATGCATGTCCAAAATCGCCTTGCCATGGCTGCTTTGGATGGAAAAACCCCTGAGGCATTTTGGATAGGTTCTACTCCTGATGTGTCCCACTTTCGGGTTTTTGGTTGTGCAGCATATGCACATACCCCTGATCAACTTCGGAAAAAGTTAGATCCCAAAAGTAAAAAATTCATCTTCGTACAAGACAACACCATTGGGAGAAAAGCTTAAAAGTTGTGGGATCTTGCATCTTACAAAGCTTTTGTAAGCACAGACATCATGTTCAATGAAGATGACTTTCCTATGCCTACAGAAGCTCTTCAAGATCCTTCTTTCATTGCTGAGACTCAACTTGTTCCTTTGATCCCACTTATGGGAGATGGTCCACTTTTGCCTCCGCCTCAAAATCTTATTCATGAGTTGCCACTAGAGATTCCATTGGGGAATCCTCCACTTTTGGACATGCTTGAACCAGCTGATGCTCCTCCAGTCGAGGATAGGCCTCCGACACCTCCACCACCTTATTGATATCGTGGCATGCCTGATCCGATGCCAGTTCTTGATCACCCTCGGGAACGTCAGCCCTCATTGAAAGTCCGGGAAAATGCTAAAGCAGATGTTGCAGAGCTTGATGACTTTTGTGGCCTTGTTGACATTGGCATCCCCATGACCTATGATGAGGCCGTCTTAGGACCTGAGGCTCCATCTTGGATGGAAGCCATTGCGGAAGAAGTTTTTTACATTCGGGTTAACGGAACTTATGTTTCAGTTGATTCAGCGCCATTGGGATGACGTGCTTTGGATCCAAAATGGATTTTTTCTAAAAAGTATGGGAAAGATGGTCAGGTTGTACATTATAAGGCACGGTTGGTTGTTCACAGTTTTCACCAAATTCATGGCCTTGACTACGATGAAACATTCTCACTGGTTGTAAAAATGGCCAGTCTTTATACTCTTTTTGCACTTGCGGCTGCTCGCAAATGGCAAGTCCACCATATGGATGTCAAAACTGCATTTTTGAATGGGGATTTGCAAGAGGACATCTATATGCATATACCTCCTGATTTTGACTTATATAGCAATTGCGGAAAGCTTTGTATGGCCTAAAACAGAGCTCCTGTATTTGGTATCAAAAATTTGATACCATCCTACGTGCTCAAGGCTTTCATCATTGCCATGCTGATCATAATGTGTATGTGAATGGTCATGTTGAGAGCATGCTTATTGTGGCCCTCTACGTTGATGATTTTCTCATTATGGGTGATGACATGGATGCCATTGTTGCTCTGAAAGCTGCCTTTAGTCAGCAATTCTAGATGAAGGACCTTGGCCAAGTCTCCTACTATATACATATATACATATATATACATATATATACATTGGTTTTGAAGTCACATGTGATCCTGAGTCTGGTGGTTACATGTTTAGCCAGCGACATAAAGTCGAAGTCTTGCCGAATCGGTTTGGTATGCATGATTGCCACCCCATCAAGACCCCAATGGTTGCTGGTGCTATTGACCTCACAGTTGAGCAGTTTGGTGAGCCTCTACCCCCTGGGATTCCCTATCGACATCTCATTGGTTGCCTCATGTATTTGGCCATATGACTCACCCTGACATCATATATGTGACTATTGCCTTAAGTCAGTAAAACACATCACTAACCACCATACATTGGCAAGCTGCCAAGCGTATCATGAGATACCTCCAGGGCACTATGGACTACGGCATTGGTTATTCAGGGGGTGATGCATCATTGACATACTACATGGATGCTAGTTTTGCCAACAACAAAAGCCATCGCTCGACTTTTGGCATTTGCTTTTCCTTCTCAAGAGGTGCCATCACATGGGCCTCCAAGCAACAATCTGTGGTGGCACTTTCTAGTGCAGAAGCAGAGTACATCGCACTCAATACTGGTAGCAGGGACGTGGTCTGGGCTCGATGGTTACTTGCTGAGCTGGGATGTGCACAAGCTGGCCCCACTACCTCTTGGTGTGACAACTGAAGCAGCATTGCCATGTCTAAGAAATTGGACTTTAAATTGGACATTAAAGTCCAATTTCACTACGTGCATGAGTTGGTTGACAGTGGCACCCTGGCCATCCAACATCTCGGGACACAAGACATGCCAGCTGACCTTCTCACCAAGCCGTTGGGGCCACACCAGTTTCAGCTCCTACGTGACAGATTTAGTTTGGTGAGTGGCTTCGGTTTGGGGGGGAGTGTTACACAACACACTTTGCCACGTGGACATTAGGGTTTTCCTGTTCTATCTGCACTTTGATCCCGATTTGTCTCAGAGCTGTAAAACGTTGAATAATGTTGCATGCCATCGCAGCCGGGGAGCTCTGCCTGGACAAGCCTGCTTGCTTCTTGCCAGATCCATAGCAACGCATGGCAAGCCGCCAGAGCCGGGCGGTATGCTAAAGCACCAGTTTTGCTCACCAATGTCCTCGTCGAGAGTCACTAAGTGTCGATGAAGAACACAAAACAATATCCTCCATGTAGAGCTGTAAAACGTTGAATATTGTTGTGACGCTTCGATACTGTCAACTTGAAATTTGTAGCAAAATAGCCTGTTCTCACAGGAGCAGCGTTTCACAGACGTCAAATTCATATTCTAGTGGCTCGTAGATTTTAGATTGCCTCCTTAATATATTTCTATGTCGTGAGCCATAAAACTTTTTAACTTATTGTCTTTATAGTCCTACTGTGACGCATTTAACCTCACAGTAGTGTTCGTCAGCGAATTGTTGTTAACAAACAAGTACCAAGAAAAAAATTAAAGAAAGCACAAACATCGGATTCCATTTTTTTTATGTTCCCATGCGCTCCACGTTGTGGTAGTATAAAATGGCGTACTTTCCAGCCTAACGCTCACTCCTCTCTAGTGTGTTTCTTATAAGATCATGGCTCTCACAGCAGCTCCAAAGTTCTACAGCATCGAATCAGTTGCTTATCCTGGCTACTATGTTACTCAGCAAGGCACCCAGATTGTTCTCAAGTCCAAGGACGCGCTCAATCCCTTCCAGGTAATCCGTGATCCAGATCTAGAACTTATCAAGATCACGTAGAACTTATCAAAGTTTTTATCATCTTGGTTTTGATGGGTAACTCTTCTGCAGCTGTGTTTGCTCAAAATGAAATGAAAGGCTAGACTATGATCCGGCTGTCGAGGACGATTCTCTCCTCTGGTCTGTTGGCCAAAGCTCGGACGATCAAGTTTCGATCACAATGACTGTGCCGGTGGTGACATCCACCAGCGGTGGAAGCTCCCGGTGGAAGCTCGTCACTTACGGTAATCCTCTGGACTTGTGGCCAATTCCCTTTGATCTTCTCGTTGTGCTGCACAGAGCCTTCTCAAGTGTACAGGATTCTGTGTCACTGGTTTGGGAAGTACTTGACTTGGAAGCCGTCACTTTCAAGGATGCAATCAAGCACAACGACGAGACAAATGTGGTTGCTGTTAGTCCAAACAACATTTCTCTCAACGGCATGGTTTGTAACTTTGATCTGACACTATCATCTTGGATCTCACATGTGTTATCATAATAGATATGGTACAAGGTCCCCGCCAGAGGCCGAGACGATACCACGTACTTCACTCGTTCATCCTCATAAACAAGGTGACTGGTTTAGCACTCAAAGGGTCAACAAAGCCGGGAGACAAGGTACTCTTTGAAAACTTTGAGGAACTTTGCAAACTAAACTTGACGATCATCGCAGGTGCTATTGACTCAATATGATCCTCTCGACTACGACTTCATGTGGTCTGAGAACCGATTTCAGGCTTCAAACACGGACTATCTCGCGATCAATCTGGATGGAACAAATTTGCAGTGGGCTCTGCAGAACGATGATCAGTACCAGAACAGTGCGTGGTACCGGCATCTGCAAACCAAGGATATCTAGGCCTGGAAATTCAATCCAGTGGTGGCAGGCAGTTAACCATGAACCATGCTGTACTCATTACCAGTTTTCTTCTTGCAAATAAAACTCCCTGTTTGATCATGATCGGCTCGATCATCGTCTCTGCAAACACGATGATCTCAGGCTAATCTCCGGCAAGATCGCCTCAGCTCCCAGGATCTTCGAGATGTCCCCCGACTTCGTAAGCCCAAAGCGGCGATGTCTAGATTCTTCCACACCATGCCGGCTCGCAGCGGCGTCTTGTGCTCCAGGCCTGGCCAGAAAGATCTTGTTGGATCGAAGTCCTGTCTCTTGGAACTGTCTCTTGGATGATCGCGATTTACGGCCAAGCTGGTCGAATCGTCCGGTCCATCAAGATCATCCACAGCTTCCACCTGAAAGGAATGCTGCCGGATCAAGCCACGTTCGTCTGCGTTCTAGCTGCGTGTAGCCACGCTGGTCTGCTCGAAGTTGCGTACGAGATCTTCTGTTCCATCACTGTAAATTACGGGCTTTCCTTGCTCGGAGATCACTGCCGCTGCATGGTTGATCTCCTCGGATGCTCTGGCAGGAAGAGGCCGATGCATGCCATCGCAGCCGGGGAGCTCTGCCTGGACGAGCCTGTTAGCTTCTTGCCGGATCCATAGTGACGCACGGCGAGCTGCCAGAGCCGGGCAGTATGCTAAAGCGCCAGTGTTGCGTCCTCGTCGAGAGTCACTAAGATTTTTTTTGTTTCCCATGGCTGCGCTGCTGCTCCCGCTGTGGTCTGATGCACACCAGGTCCTCGAGCTTGTTGCCATCGATCTTGTACATCGTGACGCCTTCCATGGCGCGGTAACGGTGTTGAGCTTGACTTCTCAGGGAGTTCACGTTTGTTTTCTCCCACTTTGCGTAGTTTGAGTTCTTGCGGGTCTCGCTCAGGTCTTTTGATCCTGACAGGCGTCCATTTCGAGATGAACTTCCCCATACTTTGCAGTTCCTGAAAGCTCCCTGGTCTTTGCCTGGCTTTCGTTTGAGTCCCATTGCTGCGTAGTAGGCTGCGTTTACTGTCGCTCGGGTCGGAATGACCGACCAGTCTTGCTTTCTGGCTTCTCGCATTGGAGAATACAGCCTCATTGTCTGTATACACGGAGACTATCAATGATAATCCATAGTCGTTTTTCTTACCCCGAGGCATTCCAACAGTTGATAGTAGGCTCTGCCTTGTAGTGGATTGTGTCCCTTGCGAGGAGCCGAGAAGTAACGAGTCCTATAGATGAAAAGAATGGTACAATGATAAGAAGTTGGAAGAAGTGTGAGTCAATACCATTCCGTGTAGCCTGGATCCACCGTAAAACCATACATATCCACCGAGTCACACATTGACAAGGCGAGCTCCAAAGACTTAATGCCTGTCCCTTTCGCTCCCCTGCCTCATTGAGCATCTATCTCCTTTCCAAACTCCGTCTTTAAAAGGGCTCCCGAGTTTCCCACCACCGCACACGTCCTAAACTGGCGCGGCCAAAACGGTGGCTTTGAAAAAGAAAGCATTGAAGTATCACTATTCTCCAACGAAGAAAACAAAGGCAAGAACATATAAGATCGAGAAAACTTACCACGCATTTTTGGACTTGACGCTGGAATGAATCAAGCGTAGAAGCGTCTCGATCTCACAAGAAAAAGAAAAATCCTGGGCGCTGCAAGCCTACATTTCTCCCGCAACAAAGATCGATCGATCCACATCCAACAATCGCAGCGAGATACCTTCCAAGAAGAAGAGCCCTTGGGGCGCCAGGAACAGGAGGCAGATCAAGGACACCAGCGCCGCAATCGCGAGTGGGAGCGACAGTAGCAAGGCTGACTGCCGCCGCTGCTGCTTGGGCGGCTGCTTCCACGCCATTTTTCGCCCCCTCCTACGCACGGATCAAGCGAGCTCCTCCCTGTAAACCTAGCTCGGGGAGCAATGCTCAGCTGTCAGATTAAAGCAGGCTCAGTTAATTAATATGTTAATGGAGGTATAGCTCAGCGGCTGCAGTCCGACAGGTCACCAGTTCAATCCTGGTTGCATCCTTCGCCAATAATTTCTTCTATCAAAACAAATCTGTCAGCGTTGGTCTTTATAAGCTGGACGCCACCATCGATAACCTTTCAACCAACGCTACAAATGGCAGGCACAAAGTCAGTGTAAGTGGAAGGCAGTGTAAGACACATGGGATAATGCGAGAGAAGCTGCCACTATATAAATTGGCATACGTTCAAAGAGCTCTATAACTTCACACTCACCCCTTTGGCTTCTCAAAAGCTTTAGTCTTTTCTTAAGAGTTTAGAGACATGGCTCTCACAGCAGCTCCAAAGTTCTACACCATCGAGTCCGCTGCTTATCCTGGCTATTGCATTACTCAGCAAGGCACCCAGATTGTTCTCAGGTCCAAGGACGCGCTCAACCCCTTCCAGGTAAAATCTTTGAAAACTTTGCCGGTTGTCGATCATCATGGGAAACTCTTGTGCAGCTGTGGTACCGGGATGAGTCATGGAACTTGCTGAACCAGGACTCCGCGTTCGTGTTTGTAAACCACGGCTCTAAGAAAGCTCTCCGGTCCCAGGCACACTCAACGTCTCGAAGCAAGGTAAACAGAAAACAGTATTCATACTATACACTGTTGCTGATCATATGGAATTTTGATGGCAAAAGGCTACTATTGGAGACTATGATCCGGCAGTCCAAGACGATTATCTCCTGTGGCGTATTTCCGGGAGCCACGAAAATCAAGTCTTGATCACCATGACTGGAAACAAGTCATTTTTTCTGAGCCACACTTCCTCAAGTGCTAGCTTCAAGGATGGGGTGCCAGTGGTGACATCCAACAGCGATGGAAACTCCCACTGGAAGCTCGTCACTTACGGTAAGCTCATGAATCATATGATTTGTTCTTCTCGGTTGTGGCTCATATATATGATGATGATGCACAGAGCCTTCTCAAGAGTACAGGATTCTATGCCACTGGGTTGGGCAGTACTTGACTTGGAAGCAGCAAAATGTGGATGTAACTTTCAAGAATGCAATCAAGCACAACGACGAGACAAATGTGGTGGCTATTCATCCAAGCAACGTTCCTCTCGACGGCATGGTTTGTACTTTTGTCGTTCTTTGTAATCTTATCTCATTCTATTCGATTACATATAGACATGGTACAAGGTTCCCGCTGGAGGAAGAGATGATACCACGTACTTCACCTCGTTCGTTCTCATAAACAAGGTGACTGGTCTTGCTCTCAAGGGGTCAACCAAGCCGGGAGACAAGGTAACTAGTGCACACTGTTGAAAACTTGAAGAAGTTCGCAAACTAAACGAATTGGATGATCATGGCAGGTGCTCTTGACTCAATATGATCCTCTCGACTACGGTTTCGTGTGGTCTGAGAACCGATTCCAGGCTTCACTCACGGACCATCTCGCGATCAATCTGGATGGAACCAACTTGCAGTGGGCTCTGCAGAACGACGATCAGTACCAGAACAGTGCGTGGTATCATCCTCTCGTGCTTCGCCCGGCATCTGCAAACCAAGTATTTAATACGCAGCAGGCCTGGAAATTCAATCCAGTGGTGGCAGGGAATTGACTATCAGCCATGTTGTATACATAAGGGACCGCTTACCACTTTTCTTCTTGCAAATAACAAGACTTTTCACGGGAAAAAGAAGCTGAGCACTCCCCATTTGTTTCCTTTTTCCCATGGAAGCCATGAGTTTTCGTTCATTTCCAGTGTCTGCAAGGATCGAAGATTTAAGAAAAAACAAAAACATTATGACTATCGAAGTGTACTATCATTCCATATAGACCATAAAACCATACATATCCACCGAGTCTAGAATTTACTACGTACCAGATCCCTTTGCAACCTCAAGCAGGTTTCTTACAACTCCACGAGCATCAACCGAAAACTCCGTTTCATGGCAACATGCTTTGTGTATTTCTGTGAAATGTAAAATAAATAAATAAATCAACTTTTGTGAGCTCTCAGTAAGATGCAAGCTCTAGATGATTACCGTGGTCACTGGTGCCTCATTGTCTCAGATGACAATATCGCGAGCATCTGTCTCCTTTCCAAACTCCGTCTTCCAAGTTTCCCACCTGTCTCAAACTGGCGCGGCCAAAACAATGGCTTTGGCGATAGTATATGTTCTTGGAACAGTTAGCTGCACCCCTGCACAACGATATAAAAACCATCCATCAACGTGAAGCTTAGCTTACAGTTGTGCTATTCGTTTCGCAGCGTAGTCCATCCAGCCATCGGGACGTTTCCGATGCTGCAACCTCAAAGTGTTACTTCCAGAGCAATGAAGAGCAAGAAAGACCGATCAATTCACATCCAACAATCGCGGCAAGATCTTGCCTCACCTTCGCAGATCAGGGACGCCAGCGCCGCAATCGCTGCCGGCTGCTTCTACGCCATTTCTCGCTCCCTCCTCCCTCGCATTCTCTGTAAACCTAGCCAATCGCCTGCAGTCCGATAGGTGACTAGTTCGATCCTAGTTGCCTCCTTATCCGATGAATCCCATGCGCTCCACGAGGTTGTGGTGGTATAAAATGGGCCTAGATCTCAGAGTTACTCTAGATCTTAAGAATGGAACCTCTCACAGCAGTTCCAAAGCTCTACGCCATCGAGTCCACTGCTTATCCTGGCTACTGCATTACTCAGCAAGGCACCCAGATTGTTCTCAAGTTCAAGGATGCGCTCAATCCCTTCCAAGTATCAATCTGTATCAATCCAGATCTAGCATCTTGGTTTTGATCTCTTGTGCAGCTCTGGTACAGGGATGAGTCATGGCAGTTCCTGAGCGAGGATAACAGTGACCTCTCCGCGTTGGTGTTTATAAACCACGGCTCCAAGAAAGCTCTTCGCTCCCAGTCATCCTCAACTTCCCGGAGCATTGCCAAGGTATATAAATCACTACAAGTTTGTCTTACACTTGAATTTTTCTCTATCCAGCTTACTGTTGGAGATTATGATCCGGCAGTCGAGAACAATTCTCTCCTCTGGTCTATTTCCGGAAGCTCGGACGATCAAGTCTTCGTCACAGAGACTGGGAATTCGTCCGTGTTTTTGAGCCACACTTCGTCTTCGAGGTCCAGCTTTAAAGACGGGGTGCCAGTGGTGACATCTGCCCAGGGTGAAAACTCTAGGTGGAAGATCGTTGCTTATGGTAATCCTCTAGACTTCTGGTCAATTCCTTTTGATTTTCTCGTTGTGCTGCACAGTGCCTTCTCAAGTGTACAGAATTCTGTGTCACTGGTTTGGGAATTACTTGACTTGGAAGCAGCAAAATGTGGATGTAACTTTCAAGAATGCAATCAAGCACAACGACGAGACAAACGTGGTGGCTGTTAGTCCAAACAACATTTCTCTCGACGGCATGGTTTGTGACTTTGTCTGACACTATCATCTTGGATCTCATTTGTATTATTGTAATAGGCATGGTTCAAGGTTCCTGCTGGTGGCCGAGACAATACCACGTACTTTACCTCGTTTATCCTAATAAACAAGACTGGTCTAGCACTCAAAGGGTCAACCAAGCCAGGAGACAAGGTAAGTCCTAAAACTTTTGAAGGACTTTGCAAGCTAAACGAAAGATACCTTTTTCATGGCAGGTGCTCTTGACTCAATATGATCCTCTCGACTACGGTTTTGTGTGGTCTGAGAACCGATTCCAGGCTTCAAACACGGACTATGTGGCCATCAATCTGGATGGAACGAACTTGCAGTGGTCTCTGCAGAACGACGATCAGTACCAGAACAGTGCGTGGTATCATCCTCTCGTTCTTCGCCCGGCATCTGCAAACCAAGGATATGTTGAGCAGCAGACCTGGAAATTCAATCCAGTGGTGAACAATGTTTAGCTGGGAATTTTATGTTCATAAATGAGATGAGAAGATGCTAGATGTATGCATGAAAGTTCATATGAATAATTACAGTTCTAAATGTTGAATCAGCTGCAGTATGATCAATATGTCATCAGTTTTTGTAATCAATTCATATACTTCCCAACAAAACGAATGTGTTTTAGGTTGACAAAAATGGAGCTAGGTGAGCCAAGACGGTTAACTAAAAAATATTCTCTTCAAATATGCTAAAAATATTCTTGTGTAATAAATTAAAATTTGAAATATTTTGTCATTATAGCTATATATTAAATCATATATTAATAACAACTATACCTTATGTTGTAACTATAAACTATTTTATAATATAAGATATTATCATAATTACAAATTATACAAAATCCACACAATCTATACATATAGAAGTATTATGTTGCTTTCTCCTTCTCTCTCACTTTTTTGCTTTTCTTTCTTCATTCTCTTGTGTATGATCATTGATAAGCTTTTACATTGCCTTCTCTTTAAAACACTTTAATACACTAAAAGATCGAATGGCCGTGAGTGGCACTACCTAAACCCAGAGTTTAGGGCTGCCTGGAATCATTTAGAATTGACACTTCTATGGTTGCTACATCATAGCTCAATGCTTCTACTTCTGGAATTGACCAGCATTAGAATTATTCTAGAGCTTCCACGATCGAGACCAAAAAAGTAATTGAGCACAATTTTCCTTTTTTCTTGCAGTTTCAATATGACAATCAGGAAGAAGTCAATCATAAGTGTCAGTAGCTAGAATGCTGGGAGAAGGTGTCTTGATGGGCTGGCCACACAATCAATAATAGTGGCTGCTAACTTGGCCCTAAACCACAGTAATCTGTGTTTGTTTGGGTTTGTGGACACCATCAGAGTGGCAGAGCTGGAGCTAGAGCCAGCCTTCAACACGGCCAGAATCATCAGAGCCCTATTCTTCCGTAAGAGAGAACAAGCCCAAGGTGAGTTCTCAAAGCCATAGCTTGCAAACCCACCTCTCACAACCCAAGTGTCATTGTATTCTCCAAAACTTTGACGAGCTTCCCATTGAGCTCCTTGCCTTCTCCAGCTGCCAGGCCCTTGAAAGCAGCAGCGTAGCTTGCATCATCTGTTACACAGTTGCCCACATCCTCATCAAGATGCATATACCTCCTAGTGCCTACTGGCTAAAACTTGAACTCTTCTAATGTTGCAAAAGCCTCCTTTAACTTGCCTCTTGTACCCTTGTTTCTGCTGTGCCACTTTGAGATTCTATAGCTGCTGGTGGTGGAATCTCTCCAACATGTTCTTCTTCATTTATACATTCTAAATATTGCATTGCTAGCCTTCAAAACATCCCCTCTTCCCTTGAAAAAGACTTCCCATCTTCTATGCAGTAAATTCAAAAGATTCCAAAAAATCTAGAACACAAACTTGTCATTATTGAAAATGACATGAATTGATATGCCCTTTCACAAAACACGTAAGAGGTGTCCTCTAGCAACTCTTCCAATGGTTTGTATGTGTGCCTCTCATTGATATCCATTCAATATGTATAAGTGGATCATCCAAAATTGTATTCGTAGCAGATGGATTGGAGCAAGGTGAACATTAAATTTTTCTCTCGAGTTGCCCAGGGCCACTATGTTCCCAGCCAATTGCAAGATTCCCTTGCCCAGCTCATCACAAGAGGGTGGTAATCCTTTTCTTGCATCAAAACTCTTCTCTGGCTGTTCCAACTCTTTGGAGATGTCCTCCAACAGCGTAGCATAATTGGAGGTACTCACCATGCATGAAAGGTTTGTGCTTTGGTTTTTCGTGTGCAGTGAAAGAGTCTACAGAATTTAGCCAAGCTCTCCCACTCAAGCAAACAGTTCAGATATTCTTCAACAGACTTAGATAGCAACAACAAGGCTTGAATTGCAGTTGTTCGAAAAGATTTTACTAAAATGAAAACACACTAATTCCTAAAACCAAAGTGTTGCAGTTTTCCAAGAAGCAAACCTGACCTCCCATCACTCCAGCATCACCTCCAAGATTGAAATTCTTGAATGATGCTACCATGTTTAACTCATGACATCCTTTTTACATGCTTTTACCATGTTCCTCAGTATTGATCTTATGCTAAACTCTTGAGATCTCCAATTCTTTCCTATCAAAATTCTGATCTCCCACTACAACAATGATGGTTTGCTACCACCTCCATACTTTGCTAGTGAAGCTTCTAGACCTCCCATGTTGATCAAACCATAGTTTACACTCTCCAACCTTGATCTCAACAATAAGAAACAAGAATAAATAAAAGAAAACACGACAAAAAGAAACTGTGTGCTATTGACTTGAACCTTTAAAATAATATGCGGCATAGTTTTGAGCTTAATCTCATATTCTCTGGAATGTTTCTAAGATTTTAAGAATGGCTCTCATAGCAGCTCCAAAGTTCTACAGCATCGAGTCCATTGTTTATCTTGGCTACTTCATTACTCAGCACGGCACCCAGATTGTTCTCAAGTCCAAGGACGTGCTCAATCCCTTCTGATCATCAAACTAAATGATCTTTGTCCTTGTGCAGTTGTGGTACAGAGACGAGTCTTGGCAGTACCTGAGCAGGATGTCACTGGCCTTCTCTGCTCCCAGTTATCCTCAACATCTCGGAGCGTTGTCAAGGTATAAATTACTGCATGCTTGTCTCACACTTCATTGGTCTAAATGAAATCTTCAAGGCAACTGTTGGAGACTATGATCCGGTAGTTGAGGACGATCCTCTCCTCTGGTCTGTATCCGCAAGCTCGGACGATCAAGTCTCCATCACAATGACTGGGAATTCGTCCGTGTTCTTGAGCCACACTTCTTCAAGTTCCAGCTTTAAAGACGGGGTGCCAGTGGTGACATCCACTCCCAGTGGAAGCTCGTCACTTACGGTAAGCTCATGAATCATATGACTTGCTCGTCTCGGTTATGCTTATATAATCTCTTTGTGCCACAGTGCCTTCTCAAGATCACAGGATCTTGTGTCACTGGTTTCGAAATTACTTGACTTGGAAGCAGCAAAATGTGGACGTAACTTTCAAGGATGCAATCAAGCACAACGACGAGACAGACGTGGTCCAAACAACATTTCTCTTGACGGCATGGTTTGTAACTTCGATCTGACACTATCATCTTGGATCTCACATGTGTTATCATAATAGATATGGTACAAGGTTCCCGCCGGAGGCCGAGACGATACCACGTACTTCACCTCGTTCAGACTGGTTTAGCACTCAAAGGGTCGACAAAGCCGGGAGACAAGGTAGTCTTTGAAAACTTCGAGGAACCTTTGCAAACTAAACTTGGACGATCATCGCAGGTGCTCTTGACTCAATATGATCCTCTCGACTACGGTTTCGTGTGGTCTGAGAACCGGTTCCAGGCTTCAAACACGGACTATCTCGCGATCAATCTGGATGGAACAAACTTGCAGTGGGCTCTGCAGAACGATGACCAGTACCAGAACAGTGCGTGGTACCATCCTCTCACGCTCTGCCTGGCATCTGCAAACCAAAGCAGCAGGCCTGGAAATTCAATCCAGTGGTGGCAGGCAGTTAACCATGAACCATGCTGAACCATGCTGTTCTTGCAAATAAAACTCCCTGTTTGTTCATGATCGGCTCGATCATCGTCTCCGCAAACACGATGATCTCAGGCTAATCTCCGCCAAGATCGCCTCAGCTCGCAGGATCTTCGAGATGTCCCGCGACTTCGTAAGCCCAGAGCGGCGATGTCTAGATTCTTCCACTCCATGCCCGCTCGCAGCGGCGTCTTGTGCTCCAGGCCTGGGCAGAAAGATCTTGTTGGATCGAAGTCCTGTCTCTTGGAACTGTCTCTTGGGTGATCGCGATTTACGGCCAAGCTGGTCGCATCGTCCGGTCCCTCAAGATCATTCACAGCTTCCACCTGAAAGGAATGCTGCCGGATCAAGCCACGTTCGTCTGCGTTCTAGCTGCGTGTAGCCACGCTGGTCTGCTCGAAGTTGCGTACGAGAACTTCTGCTCCATCACTGTGAACTACGGGCTTTCCTTGCTCGAAGATCACTGCCGCTGCATGGTTGATCTCCTCGGATGCTCAGGCCAGCAGGAAGAGGCCGATGCATGCCATCGCAGCCGGGGAGCTCTGCCTGGACGAGCCTGTTAGCTTCTTGCCGGATCCATAGTGACGCACGGCGAGCTGCCAGAGCCGGGCGGTATGCTAAAGCGCCAGTTTTGCGTCCTCGTCGAGAGTCACTAAGATTTTTTTTGTTTCCCATGGCTGCGCTGCTGCTCCTGCTGTGGTCTGATGCACACCAGGTCCTCGAGCTTGTTGCCATCGATCTTGTACATCGTGACGCCTTCCATGGCGCGGTAATGGTGTTCAGCTTGACTTCTCAGGGAGTTCACGCTTGTTTTCTCCCACTTTGCGTAGTTTGAGTTCTTGCGGGTCTCGCTCATGTCTTTTGATCCTGACAGGCGTCCATTTCGAGATGAACTTCCCCATACTTTGCAGTTCTTGAAAGCTCCCTGGTCTTTGCCTGGCTTTCGTTTGAGTCCCATTGCTGCGTAGTAGGCTGCGTTTACTGTCGCTCGGGTCGGAATGACCGACCAGTCTTGCTTTCTGGCTTCTCGCATTGGAGAATGCAGCCTCATTGTCTGTATACACGGAGATTGTCAACGATAATCAATAGTCGTTCTTCTTACCCCGAGGCATTCCAACAGTTGATAGTAGGCTCTGCCTTGTAGTGGATTGTGTCCCTTGCGAGGAGCCGAGAAGTAACGAGTCCTATAGATGAAAAGAATGGTACAATGATAAGAAGTTGGAAGGAGTGTGACTCAATACCATTCCGTGTAGCCTGGATCCACCGTAAAACCATACATATCCACCGAGTCACACATTGACAAGGCGAGCTCCAAAGACTTAATGCCTGTCCCTTTCGCTCCCCGACGGAAAACTACACCTTGGAACAAGTAGACAGGATTCGGAAGAAGCTGCAAAAGATAAAACTCAGTTAGCAAACAGCATAGCAAGCGTCAAAGGCCTATTACTTTTATTTTAGCGTTGAAGTCCCGATGGATAACACTCTTGATAATCAACACTTCATCATCTGCAAAAATCCTCTTTTGCATTAAACTTCTACTACGTACCAGATCCCTTTGCAACCTCAAGCAGGTTTCTTACTACTCCACGAGCCATCAACCGCAAACTCCGTTTCATGCCAACATGCTTTGCGTATTTCTGTGAAATGGAAGCAACTTTTGCGAGCTCAGTAGTACGCAACCTTTGTGAGGTGATTACCGTGGTCACTGGTGCCTCATTGTCTCGGATGACAATATCGTGAGCATCTATCTCCTTTCCAAACTCCGTCTTTAAAAGGTCTCCCGAGTTCCCCACCACCGCACACGTCCTAGACTGGTGCGGCCAAAACGGTGGCTTTGGCGGTAGTATCAACTCGAGATGTTCTTCGCACAGGCTTCGATTGGAACAGTTAGCTGCACCCCTGCACAACTATATAAAAAACTTCCATCAACGTCAAGCTTAGCTTACAGTTGAGCTATTCGTTTTGCAGCGTGGTCCATCCAGCCATCGGGACGTGCATCCAAATACTCGCGAGTCAATATCGTTGTGACGTTTCGATACTGCAAACTCAAAAGCGTTATTTGAATCAAGAGCAAAATTTGCAGCAAAGTACCTGTTCCCACAGGAGCAGCGTCTCGCAGACGTCAAATTCATACTCCAGTGGCTCGTAGATTTTGAACTGCTCATTACGCTGTACCGAGTAAACTTGTAAGCTTCGATCACGCAAAAACATTTCTAGTTACCTACCCAGGTACTATTTGTTCCCTCCGGATATTTCAGAACGATCTTGCAAGCATCCTTCACGGTTGCAGTCAATCCAAGCCCATTTCTTTCCTGTAAAAAGAAAGCATTGAAGTTTCACTACTCTCCAACGAAGAAAACAAAGGAAAAGAACATATAAGATCGAGAAAACTTACCACGCATTTTTGGACTTGGCGCTGGAACGAATCAAGCGTAGAAGCGTCTCGATCTCACAAGAAAAAGAAAAATCCCGGGCGCTGCAAGCCTACATTTCTCCCGCAACAAAGATCGATCGATCCACATCCAACAATCGCAGCGAGATACCTTCCAAGAAGAAGAGCCCTTGGGGCGCCAGGAAGAGGAGGCAGATCAGGGACACCAGCGCCGCAATCGCGAGTGGGAGCGACAGTAGCAAGGCTCGCTGCTGTCGCTGCTTCTTGCGCGGCTGCTTCCACGCCATTTTTCTCCTACGCACTGATCGAGCGAGTAAACCTAGCTCGCTCCGCTGTCAGATTAAAGAAGACTCAGTTAATTAACATGTTAATGGAGGGTCCGATAGGTCACCAGTTTGCCTCCTTCGCCAAATAAACAAAACAAATCTGTCATTTATACGCCTAAAATAATGATTTCTAAGTTTTTATATTATTAACTTACATTTATTATTATTACTAATTTTCATCTTTTTATGACTTTACCCTTATCAATAAATAAATTTAATATTTGTTATATATTATATCACTAATATATTCATTAAAAATTATTTTAAAACATTTTTTATTACACCATGGATAGGCTTATAACTCAACCTTTCAACCAACGCTACCAGGCACAAAAAACACATGGGATATGGCAGGCACAAAATCAGTGTAAGAAGCGTAAGGAAGTGGAAGGCAGTGTGAAACACATGGGATAATGCGAGAGAAGCTTGCCACTATATAAATTGGCATACGTTCAAAGAGCTCTATAACTTCACACTCATCCCTTTGGCTTCTCAAAAGCTTTAGTCTTTTCTTAAGAGTTTAGAGACATGGCTCTCACAGCAGCTCCAAAGTTCTACACCATCGAGTCCGCTGCTTATCCTGGCTATTGCATTACTCAGCAAGGCACCCAGATTGTTCTCAGGTCCAAGGACGCGCTCAACCCCTTCCAGGTAAAATCTTTGAAAATCTTTGCCGGTTGTCGATCATCATGGGAAACTCTTGTGCAGCTGTGGTACCGGGATGAGTCATGGAACTTGCTGAACCAGGACTCCGCGTTCGTGTTTGTAAACCACGGCTCTAAGAAAGCTCTCCGGTCCCAGGCACACTCAACGTCTCGAAGCAAGGTAAACAGAAAACAGTATTCATACTATACACTGTTGCTGATCATATGGAATTTTGATGGCAAAAGGCTACTATTGGAGACTATGATCCGGCAGTCCAAGACGATTATCTCCTGTGGCGTATTTCCGGGAGCCACGAAAATCAAGTCTTGATCACCATGACTGGAAACAAGTCATTTTTTCTGAGCCACACTTCCTCAAGTGCTAGCTTCAAGGATGGGGTGCCAGTGGTGACATCCAACAGCGATGGAAACTCTCACTGGAAGCTCGTCACTTACGGTAAGCTCATGAATCATATGATTTGTTCTTCTCGGTTGTGGCTCATATATATGATGATGATGCACAGAGCCTTCTCAAGAGTACAGGATTCTATGCCACTGGGTTGGGCAGTACTTGACTTGGAAGCAGCAAAATGTGGATGTAACTTTCAAGAATGCAATCAAGCACAACGACGAGACAAATGTGGTGGCTATTCATCCAAGCAACGTTCCTCTCGACGGCATGGTTTGTACTTTTGTCGTTCTTTGTAATCTTATCTCATTCTATTTGATTACATATAGACATGGTACAAGGTTCCCGCTGGAGGAAGAGATGATACCACGTACTTCACCTCGTTCGTTCTCATAAACAAGGTGACTGGTCTTGCTCTCAAGGGGTCAACCAAGCCGGGAGACAAGGTAACTAGTGCACACTGTTGAAAACTTGAAGAAGTTTGCAAACTAAACGAATTGGATGATCATGGCAGGTGCTCTTGACTCAATATGATCCTCTCGACTACGGTTTCGTGTGGTCTGAGAACCGATTCCAGGCTTCACTCACGGACCATCTCGCGATCAATCTGGATGGAACCAACTTGCAGTGGGCTCTGCAGAACGACGATCAGTACCAGAACAGTGCGTGGTATCATCCTCTCGTGCTTCGCCCGGCATCTGCAAACCAAGTATTTAATACGCAGCAGGCCTGGAAATTCAATCCAGTGGTGGCAGGGAATTGACTATCAGCCATGTTGTATACATAAGGGACACGCTTACCACTTTTCTTCTTGCAAATAACAAGACTTTTCACGGGAAAAAGAAGCTGAGCACTCCCCATTTGTTTCCTTTTCCCATGGAAGCCATGAGTTTTCGTTCATTTCCAGTGTCTGCAAGGATCGACGATTTAAGAAAAAACAAAAACATTATGACTATCGACTATCATTCCATATAGACCATAAAACCATACATATCCACCGAGTCTAGAATTTACTACGTACCAGATCCCTTTGCAACCTCAAGCAGGTTTCTTACAACTCCACGAGCATCAACCGAAAACTCCGTTTCATGGCAACATGCTTTGTGTATTTCTGTGAAATGTAAAATAAATAAATAAATCAACTTTTGTGAGCTCTCAGTAAGATGCAAGCTCTAGATGATTACCGTGGTCACTGGTGCCTCATTGTCTCAGATGACAATATCGCGAGCATCTATGTCCTTTCCAAACTCCGTCTTCCAAGTTTCCCACCTGTCTCAAACTGGCGCGGCCAAAACAATGGCTTTGGCGATAGTATATGTTCTTGGAACAGTTAGCTGCACCCCTGCACAACGATATAAAAAACTTCCATCAACGTGAAGCTTAGCTTACAGTTGTGCTATTCGTTTCGCAGCGTAGTCCATCCAGCCATCGGGAAGTTTCCGATGCTGCAACCTCAAAGTGTTACTTCCAGAGCAATGAAGAGCAAGAAAGACCGATCAATTCACATCCAACAATCGCGGCAAGATCTTGCCTCACCTTCGCAGATCAGGGACGCCAGCGCCGCAATCGCTGCCGGCTGCTTCTACGCCATTTCTCGCTCCCTCCTCCCTCGCATTCTCTGTCAACCTAGCCAATCGCCTGCAGTCCGATAGGTGACTAGTTCGATCCTAGTTGCCTCCTTATCCGATGAATCCCATGCGCTCCACGAGGTTGTGGTGGTACAAAATGGGCCTAGATCTCAGAGTTACTCTAGATCTTAAGAATGGAACCTCTCACAGCAGTTCCAAAGCTCTACACCATCGAGTCCACTGCTTATCCTGGCTACTGCATTACTCAGCAAGGCACCCAGATTGTTCTCAAGTTCAAGGATGCGCTCAATCCCTTCCAAGTATCAATCTGTATCAATCCAGATCTAGCATCTTGGTTTTGATCTCTTGTGCAGCTCTGGTACAGGGATGAGTCATGGCAGTTCCTGGGCGAGGATAACAGTGACCCCTCCGCGTTGGTGTTTATAAACCACGGCTCCAAGAAAGCTCTTCGCTCCCAGTCATCCTCAACTTCCCGGAGCATTGCCAAGGTATATAAATCACTACAAGTTTGTCTCACACTTGAATTTTTCTCTATCCAGCTTACTGTTGGAGATTATGATCCGGCAGTCGAGAACAATTCTCTCCTCTGGTCTATTTCCGGAAGCTCGGACGATCAAGTCTTCGTCACAGAGACTGGGAATTCGTCCGTGTTTTTGAGCCACACTTCGTCTTCGAGGTCCAGCTTTAAAGACGGGGTGCCAGTGGTGACATCTGCCCAGGGTGAAAACTCTAGGTGGAAGATCGTTGCTTATGGTAATCCTCTAGACTTGTGGTCAATTCCTTTTGATTTTCTCGTTGTGCTGCACAGTGCCTTCTCAAGTGTACAGAATTCTGTGTCACTGGTTTGGGAATTACTTGACTTGGAAGCAGCAAAATGTGGATGTAACTTTCAAGAATGCAATCAAGCACAACGACGAGACAAACGTGGTGGCTGTTAGTCCAAACAACATTTCTCTCGACGGCATGGTTTGTGACTTTGTCTGACACTATCATCTTGGATCTCATTTGTATTATTGTAATAGGCATGGTTCAAGGTTCCTGCTGGTGGCCGAGACAATACCACGTACTTTACCTCGTTTATCCTAATAAACAAGACTGGTCTAGCACTCAAAGGGTCAACCAAGCCAGGAGACAAGGTAAGTCCTAAAACTTTTGAAGGACTTTGCAGGCTAAACGAAATTTACCTTTTTCATGGCAGGTGCTCTTGACTCAATATGATCCTCTCGACTACGGTTTTGTGTGGTCTGAGAACCGATTCCAGGCTTCAAACACGGACTATATGGCCATCAATCTGGATGGAACGAACTTGCAGTGGTCTCTGCAGAACGACGATCAGTACCAGAACAGTGCGTGGTATCATCCTCTCGTTCTTCGCCCGGCATCTGCAAACCAAGGATATGTTGAGCAGCAGACCTGGAAATTCAATCCAGTGGTGAACAATGTTTAGCTGGGAATTTTATGTTCATAAATGAGATGAGAAGATGCTAGATGTATGCATGAAAGTTCATATGAATAATTACAGTTCTAAATGTTGAATCAGCTGCAGTATGATCAATATGTCATCAGTTTTTGTAATCAATTCATATACTTCCCAACAAAACGAATGTGTTTTAGGTTGACAAAAATGGAGCTAGGTGAGCCAAGACGGTTTACTAAAAAATATTCTCTATTAGCGTTCTTCAAATATGCTAAAAATATTCTTAAAATTTGAAATATTTTGTCATTATAGCTATATATTAAATCATATATTAATAACAACTATACCTTATGTTGTAACTATAAACTATTTTATAATATAAGATATTATCATAATTACAAATTATATCTCAATCCTTACAAAATCCACACAATCTATACATATAGAAGTATTATGTTGCTTTCTCCTTCTCTCTCACTTTTTTGCCTTTCTTTCTTCATTCTCTTGTGTATGATCATTGATAATGAAAGTTGACTTCTCTTTAATACACTTTAATACACTAAAAAATCGAATGGCTGTGAGTGGCACTACCTAAACCCAGAATTTAGGGTTGCCCGGAATCATTTAGAATTGACACTTCTATAGTTGTTACATCATAGCTCAATGCTTCTACTTTTGGAATTGACCAGCATTAGAATTACTCTAGAGCTTCCAAGATCGAGACCAAAAAAGTAAGTCAGGCATTGACATTGAGTACAATTTTCCTTTTTTCTTGCAGTTTCAATGTGACAAACAGGAAGAAGCCAGTCATAGGTATCAGTAGCTAGAATGCTGGGAGAAGGTGTCTTGATGGGCTGGCCACACAATCAATAATAGTGGCCACTAATTTGGCCCTAAACCACAGTAATCTGGCCTTAATAGACATTTGAGACGTGTTTGTTTGGGTTTGTGGACACCATTGAGCGGCAGAGCTGGAGCCAGAGCCAGCCTTCAAGACGGCCAGAATCATCAGAGCCATGTTCTTCCGTAAGAGAGAACAAGCCCAAGGTGAGTTCTCAAAGCCATAGCTTGCAAACCCTATCCACCTCTCACAACCCAAGCGTCATTGTATTCTCCAAAACTTTGACGAGCTTCCCATTGAGCTCCTTGCCTTCTCCAGCTGCCAGGCCCTTGAAAGCAGCAGCATAGCTTGCATCATCTGTTACACAGTTGCCCACATCCTCATCAAGATGCATATACCTCCTAGTGCCTACTGGCTAAAACTTGAACTCTTCTAATGTTGCAAAAGCCTCCTTTAACTTGCCTCTTGTACCCTTGTTTCTGCTGTGCCACTTTGAGATTCTATAGCTGCTGGTGGTGGAATCTCTCCAACATGTTCTTCTTCATTTATACATTCTAAATATTGCATTGCTAGCCTTCAAAACATCCCCTCTTCCCTTGAAAAAGACTTCCCATCTTCTATGGAGTAAATTCAAAAGATTCCAAAAAATCTAAAACACAAACTTGTCATTATTGAAAATGACATGAATTGATATGCCCTTTTACAAAACACGTAAGAGGTGTCCTCTAGCAACTCTTCCAATGGTTTGTATGTGTGCCTCTCATTGATATCCATTCAATATGTATAAGTGGATCATCCAAAATTGTATTTGTAGCAGATGGATTGGAGCAAGGTGAACATTAAATTTTTCTCTTGAGTTGCCCAGGGCCACTATGTTCCCAGCCAATTGCAAGATTCCCTTGCCCAGCTCATCGCAAGAGGGTGGTAAGCCTTTTCTTGCATCAAAACTCTTCTCTGGCTGCTCCAACTCTTTGGAGATGTCCTCCAACAGCATAGCTAATTGGAGGTACTCACCATGCATGAAAGGTTTGTGCTTTGGTTTTTCATGTGCAGTGAAAGAGTCTACAGAATTTAGCCAAGCTCTCCCACTCAAGCAAACAGTTCAGATATTCTTCAACACACTTAGATAGCAACAACAAGGCTTGAATTGCAATTGTTCGAAAAGATTTTACTAAAATGAAAACACACTAATTCCTAAAACCAAAGTGTTGCAGTTTTCCAAGAAGCAAACCTGACCTCCCATCACTCCAGCAGCACCTCCAAGATTGAAATTCTTGAATGATGCTACCATGTTTAACTCATGACATCCTTTTTACATGCTTTTAGCGTATTGATCTTATGCTAAACTCTTGAGATCTCCAATTCTTTCCTATCAAAATTCTGATCTCCCACTACAACAATGATGGTTTGCTACCACCTCCATACTTTGCTAGTGAAGCTTCTAGACCTCCCATGTTGATCAAACCATAGTTTACACTCTCCAACCTTGATCTTAACAATAAGATACAAGAATAAATAAAAGAAAACATGACAAAAAGAAACTGTATGCTATTGACTTGAACCTTTAAAAATAGTATGCGGCATAGTTTTGAGCTTAATCTCAGTCCAGCTTCTATATTCTCTGGAATGTTTCTAAGATTTTAAGAATGGCTCTCATAGCAGCTCCAAAGTTCTACAGCATCGAGTCCATTGCTTATCTTGGCTACTTCATTACTCAGCACGGCACCCAGATTGTTCTCAAGTCCAAGGACGTGCTCAGTCCCTTCTGATCATCAAACTAAATGATCTTTGTCCTTGTGCAGTTGTGGTACAGAGACGAGTCTTGGCAGTACCTGAGCAGGATGTCACTGGCCTTCTCTGCTCCCAGTTATCCTCAACATCTCGGAGCGTTGTCAAGGTATAAAGTACTGCATGCTTGTCTCACACTTCATTGGTCTAAATGAAATCTTCAAGGCAACTGTTGGAGACTATGATCCGGTAGTTGAGGACGATCCTCTCCTCTGGTCTGTATCCGCAAGCTCGGACGATCAAGTCTCCATCACAATGACTGGGAATTCGTCCGTGTTCTTGAGCCACACTTCTTCAAGTTCCAGCTTTAAAGACGGGGTGCCAGTGGTGACATCCACCCATGGTGGAAACTCCCAGTGGAAGCTCGTCACTTACGGTAAGCTCATGAATCATATGACTTGCTCGTCTCGGTTATGCTTATATAATCTCTTTGTGCCACAGTGCCTTCTCAAGATCACACTGGTTTCGAAATTACTTGACTTGGAAGCAGCAAAATGTGGACGTAACTTTCAAGGATGCAATCAAGCACAACGACGAGACAAACGTGGTCCAAACAACATTTCTCTTGACGGCATGGTTTGTAACTTCGATCTGACACTATCATCTTGGATCTCACATGTGTTATCATAATAGATATGGTACAAGGTTCCCGCCGGAGGCCGAGACGATACCACGTACTTCACCGTTCAGACTGGTTTAGCACTCAAAGGGTCGACAAAGCCGGGAGACAAGGTACTCTTCGAGGAACCTTTGCAAACTAAACTTGGACGATCATCGCAGGTGCTCTTGACTCAATATGATCCTCTCGACTACGGTTTCGTGTGGTCTGAGAACCGATTCCAGGCTTCAAACACGGACTATCTCGCGATCAATCTGGATGGAACAAATTTGCAGTGGGCTCTGCAGAACGATGATCAGTACCAGAACAGTGCGTGGTACCGGCATCTGCAAACCAAGGATATCTAGGCCTGGAAATTCAATCCAGTGGTGGCAGGCAGTTAACCATGAACCATGCTGTACTCATTACCAGTTTTCTTCTTGCAAATAAAACTCCCTGTTTGATCATGATCGGCTCGATCATCGTCTCTGCAAACACGATGATCTCAGGCTAATCTCCGGCAAGATCGCCTCAGCTCCCAGGATCTTCGAGATGTCCCCCGACTTCGTAAGCCCAAAGCGGCGATGTCTAGATTCTTCCACACCATGCCGGCTCGCAGCGGCGTCTTGTGCTCCAGGCCTGGCCAGAAAGATCTTGTTGGATCGAAGTCCTGTCTCTTGGAACTGTCTCTTGGATGATCGCGATTTACGGCCAAGCTGGTCGAATCGTCCGGTCCATCAAGATCATCCACAGCTTCCACCTGAAAGGAATGCTGCCGGATCAAGCCACGTTCGTCTGCGTTCTAGCTGCGTGTAGCCACGCTGGTCTGCTCGAAGTTGCGTACGAGAACTTCTGCTCCATCACTGTGAACTACGGGCTTTCCTTGCTCGAAGATCACTGCCGCTGCATGGTTGATCTCCTCGGATGCTCAGGCCAGCAGGAAGAGGCCGATGCATGCCATCGCAGCCGGGGAGCTCTGCCTGGACGAGCCTGTTAGCTTCTTGCCGGATCCATAGTGACGCACGGCGAGCTGCCAGAGCCGGGCGGTATGCTAAAGCGCCAGTTTTGCGTCCTCGTCGAGAGTCACTAAGATTTTTTTCGTTTCCCATGGCTGCGCTGCTGCTCCTGTTGTGGTCTGATGCACACCAGGTCCTCGAGCTTGTTGCCATCGATCTTGTACATCGTGACGCCTTCCATGGCGCGGTAATGGTGTTGAGCTTCACTTCTCAGGGAGTTCACGCTTGTTTTCTCCCACTTTGCGTAGTTTGAGTTCTTGCGGGTCTTGCTCGTGTCTTTTGATCCTGACAGGCGTCCATTTCGAGATGAACTTCCCCATACTTTGCAGTTCTTGAAAGCTCCCAGGTCTTTGCCTGGCTTTCGTTTGAGTCCCATTGCTGCGTAGTAGGCTGCGTTTACTGTCGCTCGGGTCGGAATGACCGACCAGTCTTGCTTTCTGGCTTCTCGCATTGGAGAATACAGCCTCATTGTCTGTATACACGGAGACTATCAATGATAATCCATAGTCGTTTTTCTTACCCCGAGGCATTCCAACAGTTGATAGTAGGCTCTGCCTTGTAGTGGATTGTGCCCCTTGCAAGGAGCCGAGAAGTAACGAGTCCTATAGATGAAAAGAATGGTACAATGATAAGAAGTTGGAAGGAGTGTGAGTCAATACCATTCCGTGTAGCCTGGATCCACCGTAAAACCATACATATCCACCGAGTCACACATTGACAAGGCGAGCTCCAAAGACTTAATGCCTGTCCCTTTCGCTCCCCGACGGAAAACTACACCTTGGAACAAGTAGACAGGATTCGGAAGCTGTAAAAGATAAAACTCAGTTAGCAAACCGCATAGCAAGCGTCAAAGGCCCTATCACTTTTATTTTAGCGTTGAAGTCCCGATGGATAACACTCTTGATAATCAACACTTCATCATCTGCAAAAATCCTCTTTTGCATTAAGCCAGAGACTTCTACTACGTACCAGATCCCTTTGCAACCTCAAGCAGGTTTCTTACTACTCCATGAGCCATCAATCGAAAACTCCGTTTCATGCCAACATGCTTTGCGTATTTCTGTGAAATGAAAGCAACTTTTGCGAGCTCAGTAGTACGCAACCTTTGTGAGGTGATTACCGTGGTCACTGGTGCCTCATTGTCTCGGATGACAATATCGTGAGCATCTATCTCCTTTCCAAACTCCGTCTTTAAGAGGTCTCCCGAGTTTCCCACCACCGCACACGTCCTAAACTGGCGCGGCCAAAACGGTGGCTTTGGCGGTAGTATCAACTCGAGATGTTCTTCGCACAGGCTTCGATTGGAACAGTTAGCTGCACCCCTGCACAACTAGATTAAAAACTTCCATCAACATCAAGCTTAGTTTACAGTTGAGCTATTCGTTTTGCAGCGTAGTCCATCCACCCATCGGGACGTGCATCCAGATACTCGCGAGTCAATATCGTTGTGACGTTTCGATACTGCAAACTCAAAAGTGTTATTTGAATCAAGAGCAAAATTTGCAGCAAAGTACCTGTTCCCACAGGAGCAGCGTCTCGCAGACGTCAAATTCATATTCCAGTGGCTTGTAGATTTTAAACTGCTCATTACGCACCGTGAAGGATGCTTGCAAGATCGTTCTGAAATATCCGGAGGGAACAAATAGTACCTGGGTAAGTAACTAGAAATGTTTTTGCGTGATCGAAGCTTACAAGTTTACTCGGTACATGCAGTCAATCCAAGCCCATTTCTCTCCTGTAAAAAGAAAGCATTGAAGCATCACTACTCTCCAACGAAGAAAACAAAGGCAAGAACATATAAGATCGAGAAAACTTACCACGCATTTTTGGACTTGGCGCTGGAACGAATCAAGCGTAGAAGCGTCTCGATCTCACAAGAAAAAGAAAAATCCTGGGCGCTGCAAGCCTACATTTCTCCCGCAACAAAGATTGATCGATCCACATCCAACAATCGCAGCGAGATACCTTCCAAGAAGAAGAGCCCTTGGGGCGCCAGGAAGAGGAGGCAGATCAGGGACACCAGCGCCGCAATCGCGAGTGGGAGCGACAGTAGCAAGGCTCGCTGCCGTCGCTGCTTCTTGGGCGGCTGCTTCCACGCCATTTTTCTCCTACGCACTGATCAAGCGAGCTCCTCCCTGTAAACCTAGCTGTCAGATTAAAGCAGACTCAGTTAATTAACATGTTAATGGAGGTATAGCTCAGCGGTAGAGCAATCGGCTGCAGTCCGATAGGTCACCAGTTCAATCCTGGTTGCCTCCTTTGCCAAATAATTTCTTCTAACAAGACAAATCTGTCAGCGATAAAATAATGATTTTGAAGTTTTTATATGTATTTTTTAACTTACATTTATTATTATTACTAATTTTCATCTTTTTATGACTTTACCCTTATCAATAAATAAATTTAATATTATGAGTGCTTGGAATATGGAAAGGGAATACAGAAATGTGTATATCAATTAGCCCAAAAACTCGAGCTTATATACAGGAGCAAGTGGTCCGGATTGAAACAAATCCGATAGCTACCAAAATCCCACTACACTAATATTAATATACAGTATCGTAGCCGTACACTTGACCCTCACATCATCTCTTCCTCTCGGAATAATGGAAGACTATCAAGGTTCTCTTGTAGATGGGCTGGGATCTGGAGGAATGTCAGGATGAGGTATCGGCAGATCTGTAGGTGGTATTAATTGCTCCTGATCCCTTTGTATGAAGCGTTTCAACCGCTGCACATGCACAATCTCTGAAGGATTGGCTTGCTGGACATCATGCCGAACCTCATAAACTTGTGGTCCAACTTGCCGCAACACTCGATACGGTCCTTTCCACTGTGCAAGGAGCCCCTTAGATAAACCACATACCGTAAGATGGGGAAAACGGACTAACACTAAATCATCCACTTTGTACTCCGTAGGTGGACGATAATGGGAGTTGTACTGCCGTTGTTGTCCCACGTGTACACGGCTTAAGGGTTCGACAGACTCCGCTCGGACAAGTGGAAGAATGGTCATCAAATACTGATCCCACAACCTAGCATCTGCAACTCGTGGCAATCGCGAAGGTAAACCTAGCTTCGTTGGTAATATTGGATCATGACCATATAAAAGTTTATATGGTGAAGCACCAACAGAACTCTACACCCCTGTGACATATGCATATCGAAGAGATGGCAAATAACCATCCCAATCCGAATGCTAAAAGTTCACATACTTCGCAATCATCCTCTTGAATGTCTGAACGAGCCATTCCACTAAATCGTCTGATTGTGGATGATAAGCACTCGTGAAAGTGTGGCATATCCCCAGCCGAGACGTCAAAACATGAAATGCATCAGCCATAAATGCGGGACTATTATCCGAAAGAATCCGCTCTAGACAAAAATGCTGGAACACCACTCGATTGAGGAGGAAGTATCCAATAGCAGTTACAGAGGCACTAGCAAAAGCACCAACTTCCACCCAATGAGTCAAGTAGTTAGAAGCAATAATAACATACTCATTGCCAGCACTCAACCATGGAAAAGGTCCCATAAGATCAAATGCCTCCAACTCAAACGCACGGGAAACTGTAATTGACTCCAACTGTCCTTCTGCAGCCCGAGGGGGAGTATTACGAGCTTGGCACCAAATACAGTTACGCACATACCGAATAATATCACGTCGCATCTCCGGCCAATAGAAAGACCTGCGCAGCTTCTCAATTACATGACGATGTCCCATATGCCCATCTAGAATAGGAGAATCATGGTAGGTATGGAGAAACCGCGGAATAAAGATAGAAGGCACCACCAGCCGTAAATGATTATCAGGATCCGTCCCTATAAAATAAAGAAGGCTGTCTTTGAGGCAATATTGAGAATGTAAATGCCGGAAAGGCAAGTCATCAGCAAGTGATGCAGGATTCTCAAACCCATCTTGAAGCCTTCGAATCCACGGCTCAAGCTTTTGAGCCTCGTGAACCTCAGCAAGAGAAGGTAGATTTTGCTTTGCACCTTGTGGACACTGAACGTCAAGTACAGCAACCGCCGATGGCATAGAATCCTCATCTAGAAAATCCATAGAGGCTGGAATAACAGGCTCGTCAGAAACATGAGAAAAGAATGGAGAAGGAAGAGGAGCCCGAGAAAGGGCATCAGCATCAGCCAAAGAACTCCCTGGGCGATGAACAACATCAAAATCATATATTTGAAGCTTCAAAGCCCATCGAGTAGTATGACCAACCAAGTTCTTTTGCTTCAATAATGAAGTAACAGCAGCATGATCACCTTCAAGTAACGTTCGAGAACCATGTAGATATGCATGAAGTTTCTCGAAACCCCAAACTGCTACTAAACACTCATTCTCTGTCGTGGAGTAATTCATTTCCGCTGGTTGTAATGTACGGCTTATATATGCAATGGGATGGCGCTGACCAGGCACACTCGAGCTCTTTTGCATCAACACACCTCCAAGACCAATGTCAGAAGCATCCACGTGCAAAATAAAAGGTCAAGTGTAGTTAGGATATGCCAAAACCGAAGGAGTCGTCAATAGCTCTTTGAGATCCTTGAACACCCGCTCACAATCCGGAGACCAGATGAAAGATGATGTTGGCGACTTCAACAACGCTCGCAACGGTGCAGTGCAATCAGAAAGATGATCCACAAAACGACCGAGATACTGCACCTTGCCCAAGAAGCACTGCACATCATTCACACACTTCGGAGTAGGGAACTTCAGAACAGCCACAAGTTTGTCAAGATCAACTTGCAAACCCTCACGAGAAATACGGTACCCAAGATAAGTTGTATCCTTGGACCCAAACACGCACTTCGTCCGCTTCAGCTTTAAACCAATGTCGCGTAGCCGATCTAACACTTTACAAACATCACGAACGTGTTCCTCCCACATTCCCTTCAAGTGGATCAAGACATCATCAATGAAGTCAACAGTCACCTCTGGCATATCGCAAAGAACCTCGTCCATCATCCGTTGGAAAGTTGCTGGAGCATTGTTTAAACCAAACGGCATCACCAAGAACTCGTACAAACCAAATGGTGTATGAAATGCAGTCTTAGGAATATCTTTTTCGGCCATCGGTACATGCTAGTACTCAGAAGCAAGGTCTAGCTTGGTGAACCAACAACTTCGCCCTAGACAATCCAAGAGATCTGCAGTGTGAGGAAGAGGATACACATCTGGGATCGTCACTTCGTTTAACGGACGATAGTCGATACAGAAACGAATACTCCCATCAGGCTTCGTCACAAGATGACGTTCACATGCCCAAGGACTCCACAACTTCCAAATAACACCCTTCTCCAACATCTCTTTGACATTTGCACGTAAAATCTTGATCTCCTTGGGTGACCGATGACAAACGAGAACCTTGATTAGATGAGCATCCTTGGTTAGAATTAGATGACGTGTGGTAATCTTGGCCCCAGACGATAGGTCAAATTCAAAGAGATCAAAATACTCCTTCATCAACCGGTCCACCGCTGCAACACAAAGATCGTCGGAGGGATCGAAAAAGGGAAGAGCAGAATAAGATGGAAACACTGGAGGAAATAGTGGGGAAACAAAAGTAATGGAAGCAGAGGTAGAAGTAGAGGGACGAAGAGGTATAGAAGTGAGAGGAATGGATGAAACATAAGGAAATATGAGACAAGGGGGAGAAGCTTCAAAATCATACTTAGCATGATTGCATTGCAACCAATCCATACCAAGAATGAGGTCAAAAGCTTGACTTGGCACCACCTGCAATGACTGCAACTCAAGCTCGAGATCACCCACACGCACAACCCCTCATCCCGTGCATATGCATGTGTATGGCCTTTGCCATAAAGAATGAAAACTGGTTTCGCCACATGACGCAAGTGTAGACGGCAACGTGTGGCAATAGGTTGAGCAATAAAAGATAAACTCGAACCTGTATCAACTAACACGGAGAGAATAATAAGAGACCTTTTGTTATAAAAACGAGCTTGGAAAGTAAACACTAAATGAACTGGTGCCGAGTGAACCCCTTGATGATACTCCCAAAAAAAAGATGGAGGGGTCACTGACTTATTCACGCAAGGTCCCTCCGTTACTCGTGCGACTCCTCGTTTCCCGGATGTATCTCGGTGTCCAAACCGTCCACTGCAGCAACACCAACGGGACGTTGCTGATGCCAAGGTCTCCACCCAGGAAATGGAGGTCGCCAATCCGGAAAATGCCGACAACGCTGATAAGTATGACCAATTTCATCACACGCCCAGCAGCGAACATCAAGGCCACGACCACGTCCTCGCCCTTGTCCTTGGACTCGAGCAGCAGTAGCATCAACCTCCATTGGAACAGGACCATCACTTATAGGAAGTGGAGCTGAAGGACGTGCAGCGAGAAGTAGAAGAGGCGACATCTTATAACGTTGTGCCAAGTGAAGAGCATCGTCAAGGGTGGCGGGAGCAACTGCATGCACAAGTTCGACAAGATCTTAACGAAGTGCTGGCCACAACATTCTTAGCTTGATCTGCTCTGACATATTTGGCTCCGCACGAAGCAAAAGACTTCGGAAACAAATGCCAAATTGCATCACCGACTCAGTGGCCCTTGGCGAAAATGATGCAATTGTTGGAAGGCGTCATCACAGTCATTGGCATTTCCGAAAGCGCGTTTGAAGACGTCCGGGAGAACACTCCAATCCCCACGAGTAGTTGCACTCAAACCATTGTACCACTACAATGCCGTCCCTTGAAGACACGTGGGAAACTCACACAAACGTCAAGCATCATCCCAAGAATGATATGTGGCAATCACCGTGAAGTGATCGAACCAATTATACACATCATCCCCAGGATTCCCGCGAAAGAACTCCGGCCGAACGCAAGGATTGGCACCAAGAGTAGGAGGAGTTGTACCACATGCCGTGAACACCGCCATCAATTGAGTTTGGTTATTCAATTGCAAACGCATAGCATCAAGCAATTGTACCAACTGCTGCTCCAGAGTCAAAGGAGGAGATTGTTGATCTGCCATGAAAATGAATGAAAAAGAAAGAGCAAAAGAAGAGAAATAACAAAAAGCTAGAAGGAAATGATAGATCTAGACAATGCAAAAAGTTAAATCTAAACCAAAATCCTAAAAGGAAAGAACAAAAGAAAGAAAATGAAAA